GTGTCACCAGGAATCAAGTTCAAAAGTTCTAGAAGCTAAAGAGTTTTAACACAACTTCTTATTACATTTTACTCGGTGTGTGTGTGTGTGTGTGTGTGTGTGTGTGTGTGTGTGTGTATGTGCACATGAGAGGGAAAAGGACAGAAGCTGGTTCTCTCCTTCCACCATGTGGGTCCTCCCGTGATAGAGCTCTGGTAGCCAGGCTGGCAGTAATTATCTTTACCCACTGATCCATCTTGCTGGCCCCAATATTCTTTTTGGAAATAATGACTTATTAATTTTATTGTTTTGTGTATATGAATGTTTTGTCTGCATATATCTCTGTGTGCCACATTTTTTTAATATTTGTTTGTTTGTTTGTTTTTGAGACAGAATCTCACTATATAGCCCCAGCTGGTCTAAAGCATGCAATTCTCCTGCCCCAGCCTTTCCAATGCTCAGAGTGTAGGTGTGACCACCCCTGTGCCTCACCCACTTTGAACCTTCAACATGAGGCACTGGAGGTACCTTTGCCTTGTGAGCAAATTTTCACTGTTTCTCTTCCTTTTCCAATCATTGGCAACAACTTGTACTCTGGAATAGCAACAGATTTCTGGACTGTTCTAAATTGTCTTGATCTGTTCTCCAGAAATGTGTTGCATCACGTAGAAAGAGTCCCGGAGTCTCTGCTGCCCACCTCTGGCCTAGGTCATTCTGGTTCTTATCACAACCTCAAAGAAAGACATGTGAGCCCAGAGTCCCATATTCCTTATGAGTTTAATCAGCTCTGGTTTTCAAATGCGCTTTGGTGGACTTTACTGACACACCAGAAATAGAGGTTGAAGCGACCTGTAATCTAGAGGCATAGAATCAGTAGTGCTATTGGTGGTGATGTGTTTGGAAGACCTTCCCCAGGGATCAGCGAGATTTCATTAGCTGGCACGTCCAGGCTCTGGGAATGCCATAGATAACCAAGACAGAGCTGCAGCCTGGTGACTGCACAGTGATGGGGAAATTGTGGGGTGACTAGGGGCTGTGGGTTAGACCCAGACACTGGCTTTATGACGTTGGAGGAGACGTTGGAAGAGTAATGCGGTTGAAGACAGTTGGCAGCGGGAGGCAGGGGAGAGCAATGGGTACTCGGGTTCAAAGGTTTCTCAGAGAGACGGTATTAAGGGGAGAAAGTGGAGACAGGGACCAGTTAGGAAGCTACGGAAAGAGCCTTGACGAGAAGCGCTGCAGTCAGTGTTGTAGAGGAAGTGAATGTGTGTGAGAGGAGAGAGTTAACAGGACTTAGGCTGTGGTAGGAGAGAAAGAGAAGAAACTTTTATATGACTTGGGGCTGGAGAGATGGCTTCGTGGATAAGGCACTCGGCCTGCAAGGGTCAGACGCAGAGTTTGGATCCCAGAAGCCAAGGGAGACTGGGCAGGCCTGGTAGTCAACGGTATTCCCAAGTCTATGACAGCCGAGGCAGAATCCCTGATGAAAGCCTGCTACCTAGAGTAGCCTAATGGGCGCGCTTAGGTTTAGCTTCAGTGAGACCCTGTCTCAATAAATAAAGTGGAGTGTGAGTGAGGAGAATACATGAGGTCGACTTCAGGCTTCTACATACATATACACACATGTCCCCAAGCACCTTACATGCATGTACAACCACCTACATGAAAAGACGCACACATGAAGAAAAAAATTTTACACTACTAAATTTTCTGGCTTAGATGGCAAATTATTCATCAATAAAAAGAAATAGTGAAATGAAGCCCTGGGCTCAATCACCATTACACACACACACACACACACACACACACACACACACACACACACACTCCATTAAGTGACAATTCATGAGGCATTTTGTTACAGGAACAAGGGCAGTAACTAGGTAACTAAGGTCAGGTCTTGCTATGAAAACTGGATTCAAATTTAAGATAGTACTTTGAAATATTTGAAAATTTAGAGAGTATTTCTCAGACTTATCTACTTAACCATATGCATTTCTTCCCTAGATATAGTTGAAAACAGAAGTTCTTTCCTTCTATGGAACACTGAGTAGCCTTCTACAGAAAGTTTTTCTCAATGGAAGATTGTCAAGTTCTGCCTCGTGTCAAAAGATGAAAATAGAGACTAGCTGGCATTCTTGGAAGAGGGGTATATATAAGATGGGGAGGAAGGACCCCAGACCCTTCCTGCTGCCCCAACTCTGCCTGGGGCAATAGCAACCCAGTTAATCCTGCAGAGGAATAAGGGAGACACCCAATTCGAGCTGGGTCTGAGAGAACAGCATGCAAGTTTCCTGGCCAACCCCACCTAATTCAATGTTCTAGCAAGAGAGATGTCAACCCTGGCTGCTGCTGATTCTGGCTTTCTCACATCAACTTCAATGGTTTCTTGAGAAAATTAAGTAAACTAACAAAAGAGAGAGTCGTTCTTCCTCTTGTCATTTGGTTTTCTCTTTTTGGAGTGGTGTTCTTCCAGGAGTCGAAGAACAATGCCCGGCTGAGCTGACGGAAGCAGCCACAGTGACCGAGTCGCTCGGCAGTCTACAGATGTGCGCATGCTCCGTCGTGACTGTTCAAGCTAGCAATTGGTGTGCCCCGGTTATTTTTACCGTAGTGTTTTGAAGTAATTATAGACTGACGGGAAGTTGAAAAACTAGTGCAGAGAAGGGCCTGTATTCCCCCCGCCCCCCAATATTCTGGAAAGGCAGCTGTGGAAGGTAACTAAAAGCAGTGAAATGTTGGTAACAAGACGATAGACTTCGTTAGTATTTATACCACTTACAAGGAAAAATTGAACTTTTCCTATTTGAATTTCTCCCGCTCTCTTTCTCCTTACTCTTCCACACCTATCCAGGGACCACAGATCTTAAAGAGATGCTAAATCCATTGCTACTTAGATACTCATCACATACTCAAGTAGTTTGGGGATGGATACACTAACCTCTTCCCAAATTTGACTTTAAGAATAGTTTTTACATTAAAATGCCTATAAGAGCCCAGATAATTTTCTGAGATGAACTAAGGCTGATTCTAGTCCTTAAAGTTGGTTATCACTGTTATGATTGAATGGGTTTGCAGGACAGCTTCTCTTTATGTGGGACACACGGCAGTCTGAAGGCACAGGAAGGCCTGAATTCTTCACCCTGCCCGCAGTCCCAAAGAAGTTATACAATCTTGCAGCTCCTCCCATTGAGGGATGAAGCCTAAGCCCCACGTTCTGAATCTGATTTGTGGTTTGGGTTGTTCAATGAGACAGAGGGGTCAGCCATCACTGAACCAAGACCTTCGGAGAACTTGCAATTTTCATGCTTCTTATATACATACACCTATTTTGCAGTCTGTATATTTACGTGCGCATGTGTACACACACACACACACACACACACACACACACACACACACACACACACATTGGTGACAGAGACTGAATCCAGAGTCTTGCACATATTTCACATGCACTTTGCCACCCAGCTCCACCCCAGCTCTTCCTCAGTTCTCTTGAGCACTGGTGATCTTCACATGAACAAGGTTAGGCCAGCATTCTGGAGGACAAGAGACCATGTGAAAAACAGTTAATAGAACCCAGCTGAGATCATCTTGAATGATCTAACTGGCAGCAGATGCACGAGCCAACAGCACTGGAATCAGGGATGCCTGCTCTCACAAGAGCGCTCAGTTCACACACGAGTATATTCGGTAAATAATCCCTGATTGTGTCGTAAGTCACTTGTTCCGTAGTTGCTTACTATGCTGTATTATTGTGATAGCAAGTTACCAAAAAAGGAGACTCATGTAGGTGGGGGGCACCACAGGGTCCAGAAGACAAGGATTCTTAGCTGAGAGGCAGAATTGCTTGGTAATTCACTCGGGTTCAAGTGACTGTGGCGTCATTTTTCCTTGAGCTCAAGCGACTGTTTTGAACATAAAAGAAGAGAAGATCAGTTGTGGGCTAAATGTGTCCTGAAGAATGAAAACACAAGTGGAGGGGACAGCCTGGTGGTCTCTAGAGGTGTCTGGATGGTTTCCAGGAAGGAAAGAAGATTGACACCTGTCTAGTCCTAGGCTGAGAGCCGGAAAAGAAATACACAGGAAATGGCTGATGGAGAGCAAGGAGACACTGTGTGAACCCTTGGGGCTGATGAGGTCCCCCTTGTGTAGAGGGGCTTGTTGCTTAGAACCAGGAAGAACTCTTCTGTAGTTCTGAGGTTTCAATCACTCAGTCACACATTCCTAGTGGATGGTTACCGTGTCTTCTGTGCCCATCACACTGTATTCCCCCATACCGGGTGTGGTGAGCTCCAACTAGTTCCTCTCCCTGAAGCTCACAGTTGGTGAGAAGCTATGGCAGGACAGTTGGGGTGTAAAGTAGGAGATAGGACCCTGCAGAGAGTGAGGAAAGGCACAGCACTCATCACTTTCCCCTTATGGTCCAAGGACTATTGTCAAGGTCCTGTTGACTAGAACATGCAAAATGTCTTACATCACTCATCACATAGCTATGTGAAAACAGACGTCATCCAGTGGTCAAAGCACAAAATGGGTCACAGAGAGGGCTGTCACGTCCCTTGCCTCAGGACACATTGTAGGAGAGCAAACTTTCCATGTGGACACTGACACACATATAAAGTCAAAATCAAGCCCCCTGGAGAAAATAAAAGGGTTTAAAATAAGAAGAAATGGGCAATGGCTTCTTGTGGAACTGACATTTCAGCTGATACTTGCAGGATGAGTAACTTTGACAGGAGAGGGGAAACTCCAGGAAGGACATAGTGTAAGCAAGATCCCAAAGTGGAGAGACTGTTTAGAAAATAGTGAGCTACTAATAAATGTACAAAGAACACTAGAAACTCTAAGGCTGGATAGTTGAGCAGGGGGTGCTGAGCTGAATCAATGATTTGGGTCATCAATCCAAGAACAGCAGGAAGCCATAGGCAGGAAATCATCAAATATGGAGTCACATGAAAGTGTCACTTTTTTATTTTGCGTGTGTTTGTATGTTGTATGTACATTTTAGAGGTTATTTGTGTAAATAAGTGCATGTGTACACATATATGCATGAGGGCAGGCAGAGGTCAATCTCAGTCATCATCCTCAAGTGGTGTCTACCTGGTGTGTTTGAGACAAGGTTTTTCACTTGACCTGGGACTCACTTATTTGGCTGGTTCTGTTGGCCAGTGAGCCCAGGCTGCTGAATTACAAGCATGTATCACCATGTCTGAATGGTTTTTATAAATGTGGGGTTTGGGTCAGAATTCAGGTCCTCAGAAGCACTTTAACAACTGAACTACCTCTACAGCCCCCAAATTCCCAGTTTTTTAACTGGGCATGAAACATCAGCATTGGTCATTTCTTACGGTTCAATCTATTTTCGTCACTGCGCTCGTCAGCCTGACCCTGCCAAGTTCAACTCATTGTTAGGATTTCTTTCCTTCCAACACGATTTCCTCATTTCCTGGCCAGCAACCCCAGGTTTGGGCCCAAGAGAGCCAAGAGTGAGAGCTGCAGGGTCTGAGGTGACAAGGGCCAGCCTCCCACACACTTCAGCAAAGGTCTGCGAGCATCCCAAGACACTTGCCTTTCATCCCAGCCCGCAGACTCTGTGGGTTTACCAGGGGAGACTGCTCCCTCAGACAGCTGCTCCCTGACCTCCTGGCTGCTCGGGAGATATTGGAATCCATGAGTTCACAGCAGAGGTGGTAGAATCCGAAGGCTTTAAGAGGAGGCTCTCAGGTAATACAATCCTCTTGAGCACAGTCCGTTACGTGGCCTTGTGTTCCCAATTTTCAGATGCTTCTCTGTGTGTGACCAGAATCTAGGTCACACCTCAACTGGACATCACTGCACTGAAATTTCTCATTTTTCATTTCGCCAGTTCATATTGAACTGGCAAGGAAAATCATGCAAGGCAAATCGTGTGAGGTAAGGAACGCGTTTCCCAGCATTCCTCACCAAGAGTAGGGCCAGAAACACCAGAGAGGACCCCCGACAAACTCCATGAGAGTACCAGAGAACTCTGACTGCTCCCTATGTTAGAGAGGCCCCAAGAAATTAGAGATGGTTTTCTCCCTAGTCCCAGTGTGAGAAGCTGTTTTAAACCGACTGGGGTGGAGGCCTTATGGGTTAGGGTTCCTTCCAGGGCTGAAACCAATAGACTGTGTATATATGAAAAGGAGACATTAGCTTGTTTTACATGACATGGTGATCGGGGTACAGAGCTCCTCGTACTCACAGAGAAGCGCTAGAAGAACCAGGAATGTTAATCACACAGGGACGCCTCCTCAATGGAGGAGATAAAATCAAATGCCTACATTCCATCCAGAAAGCTGAGAATGGAGGTTGCTACAGACTTCATCCAAATTCCCCAGAATGAATATTCCAGATTCTCCCCTCCCTGGACTGTTAGCCATGCTTAGTGGAGATGTCGCATGTATTCTATGGCCTACTGACCTCTATGCTATGGGTCAGAGACCACACTCGATTCTAGACCTTTTAGCTATAGAACCCACCCTCGTGGTCACATGCACTTTGTAAAGGAGTCTCTATGTCGTCACACTAAGTTTTATTGTACATCTGGAATTGGATAGATTGGACTGATGGTTGCCTGGAAACCTTTTCCCAAATTGTACTGTGTTTTAAATACACTGACAATGAACCGCTTGGTATGAGACGCTCCAAAGTCTGATCCAGGCGGACAAAGTCAACTGCACTGGGTTTTCATTCGTATCTCTTTGTGCATTTTGCTTCCCTATGTGACACCTGCAGAGACCCCCCTCAATACAGTCTGAGTAGTCCAGTAATGGCTTCCTCTAGACTGGGGAGACTAAGAACCAACTTGAGAGGCTGAGTGCCTCAGTGGTCCCAATCTGGAATGGGAGGTCTAAAGACTTCTTGGGGCACCAGTGTTTGTTGTCTGCATTGGAAGCTCGAAGCAGCTGGGCTCTGATGGGAGCAAAGGAATGCGGCAGCAATGGCGGCGGCAGCAATGGCAGCACTGGGCTAGTGAGACACGGAGGGAATGAGGTCAAGGGCGGTGTTTTCCCTCCGGCCTCCTTCAAGGCTGGCCTCCACCAGACGGGGCTGCCTACATCCAGGGTCTGGTCTTCTATTTCACTGAAGCTGCTCCAGAAAAATCTCTCACAGGTGTGCCCACCAGCTTGCCTCTTGGTTGATTTCAAATCAGTCAAGCTAAGGACTGGAGATCACCAGCACAGAAGGGAAGAGTTGGGCTTGCATATTTAGTTGAGTTCGATGTTTTCTCACCACCTTGATGTAATGCTTGGAACAAGGTCCCCATTGAAGATGCCCATCTCTACTGCAATCACAAAAATTAAAGCAGAAATGTTGGAGGGAATTGAGAAGCCTCCCACTACACAATGAAACCTCACATGTTTGTTTTTTTTTTTTTATCAATATCTGTCTCATTTTCTGAAGATTCTTCCCACAAAAGCTTATTCCATCTTTTCCTCTCCTCAGATTACTGCCAACTGCCCATACCACATTCAGTAACTCAAAAGGCAAGAATATGGCTTACCCTACCTCTTTTTCGATCCTAGAAGGCCACTTGGTGAGGAACTGAGGGGGTGGGTGCCACTGGACACAGTGGGGTTAGACTATTCACTCAGCACTCACTCGAGGGAGTTCATTTCTTCTTAGGGGAGAAAGGTAAAAAAATTTCCCACACTACATTATTAATATTAGCCTATGGAAAGCATAACCAGGGAGACAGAACTCCAACGTCTGGTCTGTGAAGAACAGAATCGCATTGCCAAAACAAAAGCAAATAGCCATTATGCAGAACTCCTTCAAGGTTCAGGGTGACTTTGAGAATGGCCTCTCAGTAATAGAGGGACATGAAGTTCTCAGGAAAGCTTCAGTGTGTCACTGTCGGAGAGTCTGTGATTTAAAATTTAATATGTTCAACACAAGGAAAATTGAAATTCTTGACTAAAAGAAAAAGCCAGAGGACAAGTAGAAATGAAACCAGCACCAAGGAAGAGGGGGCATGGAGGTGGGTGTCCCTGCATTCAGAAAGATATTCTCTGTTATGAAGAATGTGTTCAGAGAGATGGAACTGTTCTCTATCACAGGGGACCTATGTGGAGTTTATTTCTATAGACAAACGATTAAGCTTACTGAAAATAAGACAGAGGCAGAGCTCAGGAAGCTAGCTTTCAAAGCAGCCAATGTTGACCTTGTGAATGGCATAGACCTGGCTTTTTCTCCTAGCTCTTGCTGCATTATGAGCAAGTTCATGTTTAGAAGTACAGTATTGATGGTGAAGAACCCCGCACAAAGCGTATCCACCACTGGTTAGCCTTTGGTTAAGGGTCTAGGGAGCAGGTTAAGAGTGATTAAATTTTTGGCAAAGCCATGCATTTTTGACAATCTATAGAGTCCACCCTATTGGGAATCATGTGTTGTTCACCTGAATCTGCAAGACAGTGGAAGGTTCTGCTCCAAGAATTCCTACCTTCACCATGGAAGAAGGAAGGGGCTAGGATTTTGCCAGGAATGAAGGGGGAGATAAGCGGTTTTTTTTTTTTAATTTGGAAAATAAAGTCAACAGACCAAATGCATACACAAATAATCATATCGCAAAAATATGATTTAAACATAACCAACTGCTTTAAGTCATAGGACTGAAAACACTGAGAGGATCCCAGCCTATGACCTGCACGAGTGCATGCTTGAGACTTATGGCATGGCAGTCCACACAGTGCAGCATTGTCTTGGCTGTAGAGCAGCGAACACCCTGGAAACACTGAAGGCTTGCTCAGGGTGGAAAGAGTCAAGGGGAAAATAAAGACAAAGACAGAGTTGTTGGGAACCGAATTGTTGGGTCCAGACTGTCAGTGCTGTGATTCAGGAAAAAGTCTATGTGGGCTTTACAGGCAGTGAGGAGCTCAGCTTTGCTTATGAATGCAACTAGGGCCGGCCCAGAGGAGGGGGAGGGAAGACAACCGAGTGGACGTCAGATGAGAAACGCAGCCCTTCTGCTTCTGGACATGAAGCAGAAACGGTGTCTTAGCCAGGCTTTCTATTGCTAAGATGAAACACTGTTACCAAATGCAACCTGGGGAGAAAAGGGTTATTTTGTTTATGATTCCACATCACAGGCCATCATCAAAGGAAACCAGGACAGGAACTCATACAGGAGACAGGAGCTGATGCAGAGGCCATGGAGGAGTGCTGCTTCCTGGCTTGACCCTCATGGCTTGCTCAGCCTGCTTTTTTATAGAACCCAGGACCACCAGTCCAGGGATGGTACCATCTACAATGGGTTGGGCCCTCTCCCGTCAGTCACTGCTTAAGAATACCTTACTGGCTAGCCCGTAGCCTGATTTTATGGTCAGGCTTCCTCAATTGAGTCATTTTCTCAATTGAGGCTCCCTCCTCTATGATGACTCTAGCGTGTGTCACAGTTAACATAAAACTAGCCAGGACATACAGTAAAGAGGTTAGGTGAGGGGGAGTGGACACTCTTCCCACAGCTGCGCCGAAACCAAACATGTGAATGAGCATTGTGTTCCAGAGCAGACTTTAGAGACAGAAGGGGAGAAGTAGGCAAAAGTAGGAAACAGAGACTCAGTGGGGCTTGACTTTGGTCCACCCAGCCAAGGAAAACAAGCAGTGCTTTAGTTCCCTCAAAGGAGCATGATGGAGTTTGCTCAATGGTGAACTCATGATAATAAACAATTACTTCAGGGAAGAGCTCCCACGAGCTCCATGAGGTGGAGTCACCGAGGGGACCTCCTGTTTCTGAGCCTTTGTGTCTTCCTCTGTAAAATGAGGAAGAATGACAGGAAACTTGTCTGGGGATGCCTCACTAGAAATTTACTCATCATCCAAAGACAAGCTGACAGAAAGGCAGCGGGAGGCACTTCTAATTGTCTCGGTGAAAAAAGATCCACTGGGGCTAGAGAAATGACTGGAGGGGTAAGTGGACTTTCAGCGCAAACATGGGCACCAGAGCTGTGGTCCCGGCCCTCACCCAACAAGCTGGGCATCTAACGAGTGGTTTTGACCCCAACTCCAAGGGAGTGGAAAGGACAAGACTGCTCCTAGCTATGGTGAAGGAGAAAGCTTATTGTAGATAAAAAGGGAGAGGCGGGAAGAGTGGCCATGACTTTGAGCAGAGTGAGGAGTGTGGGGAGGGGAGAGGGGAAGAGGAAATACTGACCTAGTGTGGCAGCTTGAGCCAAGAGAGTAGATGAAAAGGATGAGGTAACCAAAATAGCTGGATCAACCAACAGAGGATGAGTAAGCCAAGTCTCTGCAGCAGAGCATCTGGCAATTCCATGGACCATGTAGGGCACTGAGGCATGGCTTATAATACATAATCCTCCTAATCAGCCTGCAGAAAAACGGAAGTCAAAACCTCAGCCATTCTGCTATATACACATCAGAATGATCACAACCAAAAGACAGAAAACCAACATGAATGAACTGCATAGAAAGAAAACAGCACCTGAGAAAACTATTGGGTTCATCTACCAAACAGCCTCAAGATCATACTCCTGGGTCTGATTTAAGCAGATTCCATTTAAAAAAAAAAAAAAAAAAAGCATATACGGTTTTTTGGTTTTTTTTTCTTCACCAAAAATATGTATAGGGGACTGGAGAGGTGGCTCAGGGGTAAAGCATAATCAGGAGGGTCTGACTTTGGTCATAAAGTCAATGCATATCTGTTGTTGGCTGTTTTTACTCTTAGCTCTTAGGCTCCTTGGGGGGCCTACCACCCAGTTCTCACACAGGCTTTTCTTACTTATAAAGGCCTGGCTTGTTTCTAGCCAACTTTTCTTAACTTTTCTTAAATTATCCTATCTATCTTTTGCCTCTGGGCTTTTACCTTTCTCTATTTCTGTATATCTTCTCTTTCCTTCTTATTCCATGGCTGGCTATGTGGAGTCCTTCTTTTCTCAATCCTGCATCTCTCTCTTTTTTTCTGCTATTTATTCTCTTTGCCTGCCAACTCCACCTATCTTTTTCCTGCCTTGCTATTGGCCACTCAGCTTTTTATTAGACCACTCAGGTGTTTTAGACAGGCAAAGTAACACAGCTTCACAGAGTTAGACGAATGCAACATAAAAGAACACAACACATCTTTGCATCATAAAGCAAATGTTCCACAGCATAAGTGACTCTAACACATCTTAAAATGATATTGATGGTTATGATAAACGGCACTGGTGGCGGTGCTGGTTACTGGTGGAAAAGTCACGGGCCACGGCCAGGACTACCAGAGTTATAGAGCTTTATTAGAAAGAAAGAAAAAGAGGATAGGAGGGAGGAGCCAGGCCTGGACAGAAAGGAAGATGGCGGGAGCAGAGAGGGAACAGAGAGAAGAGTGTGGGGGTCTGAGTCAGGCTTTTTAAGGTGGGGATTACGTGACCAAGGCGGGTACATAGTCGCCAGTGCCCGCTGATGATGTAAGATGTAAGACACAGGACCCCGAGCTGTGCATGTACAGAATCCTAACAGATATTCTACAACACATGTGATCCTGAGACACATACACAGTGGGGGGGGGGGGGGACATAAGGGGAGTGGAGAATAAGCAGAAGCAGAAGCAGCAGCAGGAGAGAAAGAAGAGGAGGAGGACACAAAATCAGATCTGTATAATTTCATGTGGTCAGGTTCTAGAAGAGTCAGTAGGATTCCGTAGTGTGGTATGGACCAAATGGTAATCACCTTTGAAGGTGAGGGAACAGAGGACGGAAAAAATGCTGGGTAAGGAAAGGGTTTGGGGGCAGGCTGCTGTCATCCTTCCTTTCAGTGCTTCTTGCCTGGACGTGTTCAGTTCCTAAAAACTTACATGTACTGGTCAACGTGCTCCCGGAGATGCACACTCGCTCAGCCACAGACTCCCGGAGATGTACACTCTGAACCGCAGACTCACAGAGATACATGTACTCACTGAGCTACATACCCAGGGTGTGCTCACCTTCTGTATAGACATTACTCCATACGAAGTCCTGAAGTTAGAGTTGGAAGCGTGCGGGCACAATCCTGTTTATACTCCAATGGAAGGCAGGGGAAAGACAGAAACAGTAATTCGTGGCCGGCACGGCCTTGGGAGCACTTAGTACATACTTGGAGGGCAGCTGAGAAAAGTGGAGGTCCTCCCCTGCTCAAGATTGAACTGTTCTGGCGGGAGCGAGGCTATTCTAAGGTGACACTCCACCCTTTTTCTGGTGGGTCAGGTGCTCATTAAAACAATTGTCCTCCAGCACTGGAATTTCCCCCAGGAATCTCTCATAGGGAGCAGGAACAGGGTGGAGGCTGAAGCCAGCTGGAAGAGAAATTTGTCTATTTCACGTGGTTCTGACAACCTGTCCAACCACCATGCAGGAGAGGCTGGAGCAGACAGTGAGGACGGGAGGGGAGTATCTGGACTAGGACTGCTTAGTGATGCACAGCCTTGCCTTCGGTTTAAAGATAGACCTCAATGCTAAGACGGACTGGGAGGGGTCACTGGACCGTTAACTCCTCTTCCCAATACGGCCACAATGACTAGATGTCCTGTATGTTTTTCATTACTGCTGCTCTTGTTTGTTGGCCTGTTGGTGATTGACAGCTGAGGCTAGCTAGCTTTTTCGGGCTGCCAGGGCCCAGAACTGCCTTCATGATGTTAATTCATTTAAAGGTGGACAATAGACGTTTGCGAATAAGGATAAAGCCTTCCTGGCCCCATGGCGTCTGCAATGGTGGATAGCTGCCTTCTCAGTCACCATCGCCTGTATTTGGTATTCTCCTGTGTGTCTCATACACTGTCTTGTGTGGCTCTGGTGGGCTGAGGGGTGGTACGCCTCAGAGGAATGAGGCTAAGGCTGGGCGTGCAGCCAAGTGTGGCTCTAGAGAAATTCTAAGCTGTGAAGAGGATGCTAGACCCAGTCAGGAAGGAAACTGGGTGTTGTCTAAAGATTTGAGTTGGGCATGTTACGATAGAAGCCATGAATCAAAGGAAGGACTCTGAGCTGAAGGTTCTCTGCAAGAACAGAAAACAGTCACGGGTTTCCCTGCTGTGGTGTATTTAAAAGTACCACACATACAGTGGGATTTCTAGGTTCTAAAAATGTCTGCAAACACCCTAGTTTATGACTTCAAACTATAATACAAAGGTTCTAAAACTGGTGGAGAAATTCTGTTTCAAAAATGCTACATTATTTGAAAGGGAAAAAAAGAGCTTTTTATAAACCAACCTACAACACGAGGCTTTGAAATAAACTTTTGGGGGCTTGATAAGACTAGGAAAGAAGGCCAGAGTTCCTACAGCTGAGGTCAACAGAAAACTGTGACAGGGTTCTCAGCCACAGAGGTGAATTCTGTGCATTTAGGCTTGCATGAGATGCCTCAGGCAGGAATTTTAGACACTGCAGTTTTTACAAATGTGTTGTTCACAGAAACCACACTCCCCATTCTGAACTTCTGGAACCATGCTTAACTACACACACACACACACACACACACACACACACACACACACACACACACACAGAGAGAGGGGGGGGGCGGTTGTCAATCATCCCATGCTTATCTTTGGTTTGAATTCAGATTTCAAGTCTACTTTCTGCAAGGTCCTGTGGTATCTGAAAAGTAACACAAAATTTCTTTGGAGGAAGTCCAAAGTGGTTCAGGAGCTGTGGCTCCTGGCACCAAGGTACCCACAACAATCCCGGTTTCAGATATAAAATGACCACATTTCCCTGTAGTGACTTCCTTTCCAGTGATTTCTTCACCAAAACATGAACTCTTGGTTTGGTAAGATGGCTCAATGGGTAACCCCATTTGCTAAGTAAGATGGATGACTTGAGTCTGAGCCCCAGAATCCATGTAAAGGTGTTCCCTGACCATCTCCCCAACACACACACCAGGACGCAGAAATGTCAATAGCTCTTGTTCAAAAGTAGGAAACTGAACCAGAATCCGCTAATAATTGCCTCTTATATGGTGTATGACATTACATGAGCAATAGTATGAAAACCAACATGGGTCCCACGGATGTGTTACATCTTAGGAAGTCTGTATCTGAGCCAGTGGTACTAAGGGCAGATAGAAAAAGAGTGGAAACAGGATGACAGGGCATATGCTGATGCCGATCCCATTTGGAAGAGGGACATACTAACTAGAAGCTAACCGTACAGATGACACACTGTGGATTGATCACCAGGGTAGAGGGGCAGATGGGAAGGATGGGGGGGGGAGGAGGAGGAGGAGGAGGAGGAGGAGGCCTTCCTACCAGAAAGATCAGGAAGAAGGGGAAAGGCAGAGTAGAAGAAAGACACATCTCAGTTTGGAAGGTGGCCCTCGTGACATGTCAAAGGGCTTAGCGACCATATGCAGGCAGCCCAGGCAGAGTGAGAGGTGGAGCCCCTGTTACAGCCCCCTGGCTGGGACCCACCAGGCATGTGTATCCAACACCACTCCATCTGCTTCTGTGATTAATTGCTTTTGAGGAAGGCTTTATTCCCAGTGGGAAAATAGCAGAATATGAAAAAAAAAATTTTTAGAAGTGAAAAAGATATGACTGCTTGTCAAACTTGAATAGGGAACTAAAACAGAGCTGGCATGTGCTACTAAGAGAGAATCTGCAAATAAAACTAAGGTTTTTACCCCAGGAGATGCTTGGTGCATGAGAACCCTATGACAGCATTCTGTATAGGAGAGACCCATAGTGTCAACCAGAATGATAACAATAACTAAAGACCACTGGGCAGTTGGTGTGCACTGGGCGGTTGGTGTGCACTGGGTGGTTGGTGTGCACTGGGTGGTTGGTGTGCACTGGGCGGTTGGTGTGCATTGGGCAGTTGGTGTCCACTGGGCAGTTGGTGTGCACCAGGTGGTTGGTGTGCACTGGGTGGTTGGACCAGAAACTTTGATCTTCAGAAGGTAAAAGTACCTTCCTGGACTGCAGTCTATCCATTGCCAGAGAGGCCTCTAATAAGCACAAAAAAATGATCCTTAGAGTTATGTTGTTTTCTTCCCAGGCAAAAATAGCACTAAAACTTTATCTGCATCTAATTAGGAATAGAAATGACTGGATAAACCAAAGGGTAGTTCTAGAGTCAATGTAAAAGCCAAGAATCCGAGAAAAAACACAGATAAAATAGAAAAGAGTAACGAGTGTTAGTCCATGCAAATGTGTCATGTGGCATATTCATCTGTTTTTAAAAGGCTGATTTTATTCCTGATTGTTCTTCAATGTACAATGCCTGCCATGTGTGTGCCTGGTGCCAGTGGAGGCCAGAAGGAGTCAGATCTCCTGGAAATGGCAAAGGGTTTTGAGATGCCATGTGAGCTGGACACTGAACCCAGGTCCTCTTCAAGAGCAGTAAGTGCTCTTAACCTCTGACCCTTTTCTCTAGTACCACAACACATATTTTTATTTCTCTCTTAAGATTATAATTAATTGTAAGTAATATTTTCCCTTCCCCTTAACCCTCCCATATGCCCCTTCCTGCTATCCTTCAAATTTATAGCCTCTTTTCTTATTAATTGCTATTCATGAATATTATATGGATATATATATATATATATCCATATAATATTCATGAATAGCAATTAATAAGAAAAGAGGCTATAAATTTGAAGGATAGCAGGAAGGGGCATATGGGAGGGTTAAGGGGAAGGGAAAATATTACTTACAATTAATTATAATCTTAAGAGAGAAATAAAAATATGTGTTGTGGTACTAGAGAAAAGGGTCAGAGGTTAAGAGCACTTACTGCTCTTGAAGAGGACCTGGGTTCAGTGTCCAGCTCACATGGCATCTCAAAACCCTTTGCCATTTCCAGGAGATCTGACTCCTTCTGGCCTCCACTGGCACCAGGCACACACATGGCAGGCATTGTACATTGAAGAACAATCAGGAATAAAATCAGCCTTTTAAAAACAGATGAATATGCCACATGACACATTTGCATGGACTAACACTCGTTACTCTTTTCTATTTTATCTGTGTTTTTTCTCGGATTCTTGGCTTTTACATTGACTCTAGAACTACCCTTTGGTTTATCCAGTCATTTCTATTCCTAATTAGATGCAGATAAAGTTTTAGTGCTATTTTTGCCTGGGAAGAAAACAACATAACTCTAAGGATCATTTTTTTGTGCTTATTAGAGGCCTCTCTGGCAATGGATAGACTGCAGTCCAGGAAGGTACTTTTACCTTCTGAAGATCAAAGTTTCTGGTCCAACCACCCAGTGCACACCAACCACCTGGTGCACACCAACTGCCCAGTGGACACCAACTGCCCAATGCACACCAACCGCCCAGTGCACACCAACCACCCAGTGCACACCAACCACCCAGTGCACACCAACCGCCCAGTGCACACCAACTGCCCAGTGGTCTTTAGTTATTGTTATCATTCTGGTTGACACTATGGGTCTCTCCTATACAGAATGCTGTCATAGGGTTCTCATGCACCAAGCATCTCCTGGGGTAAAAACCTTAGTTTTATTTGCAGATTCTCTCTTAGTAGCACATGCCAGCTCTGTTTTAGTTCCCTATTCAAGTTTGACAAGCAGTCATATCTTTTTCACTTCTAAAAATTTTTTTTTTCATATTCTGCTATTTTCCCACTGGGAATAAAGCCTTCCTCAAAAGCAATTAATCACAGAAGCAGATGGAGTGGTGTTGGATACACATGCCTGGTGGGTCCCAGCCAGGGGGCTGTAACAGGGGCTCCACCTCTCACTCTGCCTGGGCTGCCTGCATATGGTCGCTAAGCCCTTTGACATGTCACGAGGGCCACCTTCCAAACTGAGATGTGTCTTTCTTCTACTCTGCCTTTCCCCTTCTTCCTGATCTTTCTGGTAGGAAGGCCTCCTCCTCCTCCTCCTCCTCCTCCTCCCCCCCCCATCCTTCCCATCTGCCCCTCTACCCTGGTGATCAATCCACAGTGTGTCATCTGTACGGT